GACCTTTCCAGATCCGCTGTCACTAATCGTCACGCGTGGAGGGGTACGTCCGTGGCAGCATGGAGACCAGCAAGATTAGGCATGATCACGGCTGCATCAAGTACAAGCAAGTAACTGTGTGGGAGAGAGCGAGCGAGCGAGTAGCGCGAAAAACGGTGATGGGAGTCTCGACTGTGGCATTTTACCGACGACTTGCATGCGGGCTCATTTGGCCGAATAGATTCATGCGATTATAGAATTATTGGGACAGTATGGTCAGGTGAGGCCGGTGCGATGGGGATTCCGGCATTGGCAAGCCCGTCACAGTGCGATGGATTCACAAGTGTCAGATCAGGTCCATTCGTGATACAAATGCAGTGACAGCAAGCACAAGGTGCAGTTGGATCGGTCGCGATGATACTGCAGTGAGTCACGCAGTCGTGGATGCCCCTATGACCGAAAAGATCCAGGCGGTGTCTGAATATCCTGGGACCTCGTGAGCAGCTGAGGCGTATGAAAGCTGTACGTCGGAAACTTGGAGATTAGTTCGCAGGTCTCAGTGAAATGGCTGCTTAAGTGATTGACCAGGCGAATTTGTGATCTAGATGGGAACGGACTGGGATTGAGCCCATACTGTTAGCGCTTGGAGTAATCGTGGTGACGCTTTACATGATGACAGGAGCGTCCTCATGGGAGTCGCTAGTGACAGTGATGACGATGGTGGTGGTACCGTGTTGTGTAATGAAAGGCGGGTTCATGGTGCGCCAAGTTCACTGGGTCTAACAATGTTAAACGAGGCTGATTCCTGCCCGGAATATATTTGGACATGAACACAATGCCAGGAGTTGGGCGCTTACGTCATTGGTACGTGGTACTCGAGTTTTGCGGTCCGCTCTTACTCTCTTTCTTTGGCAGCTATTATTGGGCTGGCTTCGAACACCGCCGCTCGGATCCTTATGACAGTGTGTAACACCGGCCGATCTTCAGTGTGGTCTCCCTATATCGCGGGTTGATTTACATGTGCCATCAGTGATGACGCGTTCCTCATAACAAATTCATGTTAATAGCACAGTTGCCGACACCGTTCAGAGGCAGTGTGTTCTTAGTCGTGTATCATCAGACAGTCCCAATGCCGCGTACAGAGTACAACTACAAGTCCACAATGTCGGTCAAAAACGTGGTCAGACGAAGTTTGAGCCTCTATAGAGGCGGAAACAATAAACAACGTAAGTGCTCACGGTGTTTTATGGGGCTTGACTCAGCAGGACTTGAAAAGAGCAGGTCCCCGAGGAGATCGACGTTTGAAGAGCTGGAAGACGGGACAGGCGCTGCAGTAGCGCAGGCAGAAGTATTCGCGGCGGTAGCAGCGGCAGCAGAAGGAGATTGTCCATTAGAGGCCGGTGCTGCCTCCTGTTTCTGCTGCTGTCGAGGAGGGGCAGCATCCTGAAGCCCGAAACGCGAGAGTTCCTTTGTAAGCAGATCCTCATCTGCCGATGGATCATCTGACAGAAGGAGATCCGGCAGGTTGGAAGTATCGCTGGGGTCTGAAGCGGCACTGACATTGGTATCTGGCTGCGCAGGCTGAACCGTGGAGGGAGATTTATTGAGAACAATCACTTCGTAACGTTCTAGCACCGAACTGGCTCGTCCACAAATGTCCACGATCTCGGCTGCAGGGTATGAAACAATCACAGGTGATGTGGAGGGGGGTGAAGGGGGAGGAGCAAGGAGAGGTTGTGAAGATGACGAGGAGGAGAGGGTAAAGAAATGGTAGTGGAGAAAAAGAATAGGAGGATGAGCTTGGGAAGATGAGGGTGAGGAGGAGAAGGTTGTGAGGGAAAGGAGTAAAAGGTGAAGAAGAAGTAGTAGTGGAGAAGAATAGGAGGATGGACTTGGGAAGATGAAGACGAAGAGGTTGTGAGAAAGGTGGGGAGGAGAAGGCTACGAAGAAGAAAAAGAGATGGTGAAGGGAGAGAAGACGAAAGCGAAGGAGAGGAGGATGAGGTGGCCAAGAAGAAGAACAACAAAAACTACAACTAAAAGCATAAAAACAGCACGGTAACGGGGTACTGGTAATCAAAAACGATATTTGTAGGGAGCTTCACACAAACAGCGTCCTTTTTCTCATACTGCATATTTAAATGGGCTTAAAACTAAGGAGGCTGAAGGAGGCTAGCAGTTGAAGTTCCTTTAAGCCCATTGGAAAAGCGCAATACAGCAGTGCTGTTAGTAGTACGTATCCTGGTGTTCGCAGGATTCACTCAGAACTTCAGACGTGGTAGTTACAATCCCTGTGTGGAGGTAAACTAACGGGACTGATCGAGCAGTCTCATCATGCTGATTTATCAAAAAAAACCTTTCTTTTACATATAGGATCGTCCCTCGGAGAAAGGATACATATTTCATGGAAAGGCATCCTTTGGGAAATAGGTAGTTTATTGCGTAAATT